AGCAAAACTGCAAGGATATCTCTAAATATCACAGATGGCAGTGCTACTGTTGAGTTTTGTGATGAAAAAACTGGTTACAAATACCACTGACCTTCATTGTGGTATTTTGTTAAAGCTTTGAAGGAAATAAATAAATAATAAGTTACTCTTTCATATAAAGTGTAAAATGTAACACATAGGTGTGAGACTCTTGGCACCATTTTTCTTGATTGTAAATTTAAGCACAAATATAAGCAGTAAAGTCAATACAGGATGACTTGCTTAAAATTCCTTTGACACTGAAATACAGACAAGCACACCAATTGGTGAGATGGTAACATCCACTGCCTAAATTGAAATAACAAAAGAAGCAGAGATAAGAAAAAAAGGGGTCTGCAGGAAAAGTCATGCTGTCCTCTTGAAATGTGAATTAACCTCAAAGAATGATTTTGGAAATGGGGAGGGCTTCTTCTTAGCGTCACGCATGATGAGTATAAACGTACAAATTGTATTACTCGAAATCTGTCCTCGCACTCCTAGTATTCAAGCCATGGGGAAGAATCTGGGAGCACTTGCAACCGCTTTTTCAATTTCTTTGTAATAAAAACTTTTGAATTGTGAACCAGACTTGTCTTTTGAATTGCGAGCATAAAAATTGGGTTTTAATATCTCACAGCTTCATAAAATATTTTGAAATTTGTTATAATGGTATGTGCCTTTATTTAAAAGTGATTTTTATTGATTAAAGAATTCTTAAGTCAGCAATTTTCTGAGATTCAGAAGCTGGAAGGGAATCACACGTAGGAGAGATCTTGAATATGCAGGGTAGAACTTGTGCCAGAACCTATTTCCAAATTGTCTCGATTGAGTGCAACTGTGACCTTTCAGGACTTGGGTATGTTCTTCTAGAGATCCAACCTTGGGTGCCTGGTAGCCCTTCAGCTTGGATCATTTCTGGGCATGGTGGGCCAAAGGATTGGAGCAGCTTTGTAATGCAGAGGTGAGATGAGAGAGGCTGCCTCTAAGGTGATGCTCAGGAACTATAGGGGAGGCAGCAAATGGGCCCATCTCTGCCATGGAGTAGTTTTGAGTTTTGTTATTTCCAATAAAAATATTTTGTTTTGTGAGACTTAAGTTTTCAATCGTTGTTTGGCTTGGTTTCTAGATTGGAATTTGATCAATGAGCATGGTGGTGTGTGTTTTTTTAATTTGGCCAAGTATAAACATTATTTTCGGGAGGGGTTAAGGAGTCACCACACATTTGTCATTTTATAGAGTTGCATCAATACAGACTTTTGAAGAACTTTCATTCTAAAAATTTATAATCCTTTGTATGCTTATAGTTTGAATAATATGGATGCAGCAAATGAAATATTTTGCTTTTAATGATGAGAAGATTTACATTTATGTATCTTTAAATAAGGATTCACCAATAGAAGAGAAGCCAGGTTATTTTTGACAAATGTATGTACAATGCCAAGGGTTAGAAATAGGAATGCACTACACTTTCTTAAACTAAGTGGGTCATGGATGCAAATGTTAATTTCTTCAGATTTGTATAAAAAAATGCACTTGCAGAATTTACATTATTTAACGGCATCCAGAAATCTTTTTAAAAATGACTTATATTTTGTGCTTACAGGGATGACCACCAGTATTTATTTACAGTACCTTTATCACCATGCACCAGAAGGATCCATGGCATTTAAAAAAAATTCTAATCATTTTTATAATTAGATTAAACTTCAAACAGAATTAGTTTGGATTTTTATTCCATAGCTTAATCTCAGGGATGAAACAAAGCAAGTGCAGCATTTAAAGGCAAATTAAAATATATGTGGCTAGTTAGGAAAAGTATTGTTATGTGTAATATTGGGATCCAACTCTATGCATCATCATGAAACTTTATCACAATCAAACAGAAATTTATAAACACCACCAGTCCATTTAGTCTGAAAAATAACTTTATTTTAAAACCAATTGCATTGAGTGATATCCTATTTGGCAAAACCAGTTAGAGCAGAATTCCTCTTTAAAGTGTGTATTTTCTCTTGTTCTAACAAGGAGTGCACTCCACAGGGGCCCCTCCATCTAAAATCTCAGCTTTGAGAGTTTCACTCACATATAAACTTACGCTTTTTAAAATTCCCTTTGTAGTATTTATGCATGAAAGTCACAGCTACAATAAAATGACAGATAAAAATAAATTTCCTGTATATTTGACAGAATGTATCTACATTTCCATCTGAATTCCCAGACCGCAGGTTCAACAGAGAGGTGATTTTGTTTAGTTTACAGAAGGCCTCTGGACAAGAAGCATGAAGAAGCATTGTTCTCTGGACCCCAAGCTAAGGTGTCTTTGCAGAAGGGTCTGAACTGAAGAGAAAGGAAGGATCTGATGGCTTCATTATCCACATAACCCCTTCCTTCCTTCCTTCCTTTTTAAAAAAGGCTTTTCTGTACAAAAGGGATAAATACACAAAATCCCAAATCCATCAGAAAAAAACAAAAATATTGCAGAGCTTTCAAATAGGCATACAATTCATGCATGATGCCTACATTATATAAATCTCAGGAAATATTTTAAAAAATAGGTTATTGGATATTCAGAATACCTGATGAACACAAAATACTTGAACTGAGGCCTCCCACTCATCCTTGTGCAGAGAAATGTTTCTTGAATTCATGAATACAATGAACTGAGTTCTTCTTTAGGCACATACCAGTTGACAAATGAACTGATTTTTAAAGCCACAGATAGAAAGTTAAAGAAAGATGCATATTTATCAGTTCCTTTCCTGTTAAAAGTGCCCAAAATATTAACCATAAATTGGACAAAGTTAGATGGATGCTAAATTGTATGGCTTTAACTCTGATAACTGAATACATTAATTTATTGGCTGAGTTGCCTCTTCCAAAATAATATAAGCAAGCATACATGCTTGTACAGCTACAACATGCAAAAACCCACATTTCATCTGAAGATGGTATAGAAAACAGTAGCATAGCAGAGGTGAGACATCTCAGAGTTGGGCAGAGAAATAAGAAAGAGAAATGACGAAATTGCTTCATGAGGAATGGCTGGAATATCTGTGTCTTGATTACAGTAATCAGGCAGGGTTACCTAGGTATTTTGAGGCCTGTACTTCAAAAAGACACAACCTCCAAATTCCATTATTGAGACCATTAACTCAGACTTAGTTTTACTCTCAGTCATTCAAGGCAGTGCTTCTCAACCTCAGAAACTTTAAAATGTGTGGACTTCAACTCCCAGAAGCCCCCAGCCAGAATGTAGATTGGAGAAATCTGGGAGTTGAAGCCATATTCCTTAAAGCTGCCAAAGTTGAGAAACACTGATTTAAGGCACAAACTTTTTTTTAAAACAACAACACCTGTTTCATTTTAAAGATAGCCAGACATTCAGGAGTCAACTTTTCTGCTATTATAAAATAGTGGGGAAACTTTGTGGGAATAAGTAACTGAAATAAATCCTCTACCCCCTCATCTTGGAAAGCAGGGAGCACAGTTCAAGTAATAGTTCAGTTTCCATTTTCTAAGTCTTTTCTTGGTAGAAGAGCCATTTAATGGCAACAATTTCTACTGAGCATCTGAAATCTCAGCTTCCCTGCATACTATCTGCCTAGACCTAGAGCAATGAAAGCTGATTATCAGCAGTAAAGGCTAAAAAGCAATCAAATACAGGTCTGTAGAAACATGTCCCAAACTGTGTACAAAAATACAAGAGAACATGCAATTTTATACAGGTTCTGTATAAATATTCCCCTCTGAATCTTTCTTTTCCTTCCTTTTCATTCAACACATTCACACATACGCACACATACACACGTGCACACATCCTCCCCCAAGGAGAATCTTCATGGCAAGAGGCACTTGAACAATATGTGGAGAATTCCTATGAAAAAGATGTTCCCCTCACAGTGATATGGGACAAAGAGAAACAGGTTCTCAGGATTCCATTTCCTCCTGGTCAAGTGGTGGTGGCACAAAGCTCACCACTTCATCATAGGTCAGGCCTGGAGGAGAAAGAAAGATGGGTTAAGGCTTTCACTAGCTCAGAGATAACTGCTTCCCATTCTTCTACCCGATGATGAAATGGTAAAATAAGCATAATTTTCTTTAGAAGAGAATGCTGATAAAGACCACATTCGACATGGCCTGAAAAGACTTTCCCTCCTTCTTAGCCTTTCCTAATCTCTGGTACAGCTGTATTTCTAAAACGCATTGGAAAATGGATTGGAGTCCTTTTCTTGACAGAATGTCAGAAGATTTTTTTTAAATTTTGTGGACTTGTGGAATTATAAGTCAGACCCAAATGTTTTTAGAGGAAAATGGCAAACTAATAACAGCAAATATAGTCCAATTTTCATAATATTAGATGCCTCCCAAGTTCTAATTCAAACATTCATAGTGGACATGTGAGTAGGGAAATACACATAGGGATCTAGATATACAGTATGCTTCATCCACATCCCAACTACCTTTGTGCAAACTGTCTGAATTACAAGTACTGTATTTGTCCCAAAGGAAAATTAGAAACGAACAACTTAACTTCCCTATTTTCTCAATAGCATTGTCAACTCCTACTGAAAACACTCCAAAGGGCGAGGGGGAGGGGGGGAGGGAGAGAAATCTCCCAACAAATATGTGGCTCTGACCCATTTGTGAACAGATGTACAAATTTGTATACATTAAGTCCTTGACTTATGCTCACAATTGGGCCCAACATTTCTGTTGTCAAGCAAAACAGTTATTGTGAGCTTTGCCCATTTTACCACCTTTCTTGTGACAATTGTTAAGTGAATCACTGCCTTTGTTAAGTTAGTAACTGCTGTTTTTTTCGCTCATTTCTGCCCTCCCCAGCCCCCAGGAGCATTCTGAAAGCCTCCTAAAGGCTATGCACAGCCATTTTGGTGAAGGGGCAGGGTTTCAGGAGGCAAAAAAATGCTGTATTCAGTGTATAAGACACACCCAGATTTTCAGTCTCTTTTTTGAGGAAAAAAAGGTGTGACTTATACTCCGAAAAATATGGTACATCCCATTGATTCAATGGCTCTTACTTTCAGTGTGCTCAGGATCCCACAAGTATGCAACAAGTGTCTGCAACTGAGGCCCCCTCGCTATCCATTTAAAACTCTACATTCATGGAAGGTTCGGATTCTCCTGGATCTTCAGTTTGCATGGAGTCTCCATAATTAGTGAGACCCTCCACTAAGTCACTCAGTCTCTACAGTGGGAGTTCCTAACTGATAGAACCTTCTCCTCCTTCTCTCTTGCCTCAGCTTCAGTTTCCCGCCCGTTTGCTTTCTTTCCAGAGATTGTTTCTCTCACCAGATTCTCAGCCAGAGGAGAAAGATAAAGCTAGTGTGCTTGTTCCCATCTGCCTTGAACTATTTCCCTTTCTTCTTTCTGATTCAGCCATTTCTTTTCTTTATTTATAACTGTCCTCCCCCCCCCCGCAATAACTTTCCTTTGCCTCTTCCCATTATGAAATTCTTAGTGAATGCAAAATAATTTTTCTTTTCTTTTCCGTAGAATGCAAAAACTATAGTGAAGAGAAGGATTTTGTGAAGTGTTCTTTCACTGAGCATCATCAGAAGTGTTTTAATATTAATGGTAAGTCATAGAACTCATTTTATGCAACTATACTCATTTCCTGAGTTTCTCTATTCAGAAGGTATGTTTCTGCAGAACCTATTTTGCCAAACTAGATTTCATTACTTCCTGACATCTTTTATCTTTTCACATGAACTACAACAATAATGTTGTTGAATGGCATCAGCAATACTTGGTTCACCACATCAGTCTACCAGAAAACTTACTCTTCCACTCCTCAATATCAAGTTCTCTGCTTTCAAAAGACTGATCATAAGGATCTGCCACTGGCTCATCATCTGGGTCGTGATACTGAGAAAAATAGCCGTGGGCCAAAGCCTCAGCAGCAGTGATCCGTTTATCTGTGTCCAGCACCAGCATCTTCTCCAGCAAGTCTACAGCTTCAGAAGCCAAGGGAATAGAACAAAAAGAGGGATTAATGTCCAATTCCTCGTAAAGTCCCAACTCAACTTAAAGAAAATCAGTATTTCCCAATGCCAATATGCTGCCATTCATTTTTGTATGCAAGAAGAATATGAGTTTAATATCTATAAACATTATAAGAAAAACGTGCTTCTAAGAAAAGCATTGAAAATTTGAATTCGGCAGGAACCCTTGGTTGTGTTTCTGAGCATAAAAGTGAATAGTAAAAGTACTGAGTTGTGTTTGTGTGTGTGTGTTGTGTCTGTGTGTCTGTGTGTGTCATATACGGCCAAGGAAATCTGCAATGCTTTTTACAACAAAGTTGTTCTGGCACTTCAAGATTGCTAGTTCATGGATGCACACTATTCCACAGTGCACCAAGGGGGCAAACTAGCTTTGTACCAATGGGCAAGCAGAGTTCAGGGTATGTCGAGTTATTGGGCTTCCTTCTGCTGACTTTGCTTCGCATCCAGAAAATATTGAGTAATTAGGAGGCAGCACACCACATTTAAAAGGAAGAATGTTTATAATACTTATTTAAAAGATCTGTAGGGACACTTAACTTAAAACACAACTATGGGCTTAGGTAACTTGAATGCAAAGTATGTGCTTATTAACCTAACTATTAATGAAAACTAAGTGACATGCATTATATATGAAATAAAACATAAGAAATAAATGAAGATAGAAAAAAATCACTTTTATCTTAAACATTTCTTTAAGAGGAGGAAGTATGTGAGTTCTTTTTTGTCTCTTAAACAAAAACATTCATTTAATTAACAAAAGGCCAGGTGAGAATAAAAAATTAAAAACAAAACAATACCAGACAACAGAAAAGGAAATGGTCATCCTAGTGGAACAGACATAAAACTCTGACGGACGGATCCACATCCCCTCCTAACCCAAAGCCTAGGAAAAGATCTAGGTCTTCAGCATTTGCATAAAGTACAGTAGAAACAACAGAGCTGGGGCCATTCAAATCCCTAGCAAGATACTGTTTCAGAGCCCAGGTGCTGTAAAAGAGAAATCATGCTTCCTGGTTCGTATTGTTTAATGGATAAGACCTGGGATATGCTGACTCCGCCTGATCTTACAGGATGTGCACACACAAAGGAAGACAGGTGGTTCCTCAAACAACTAGACCCTATGCTGAATAGGGTTTTATAGGATAGCTAGGACCTTGAACTGAAACCTAATGGTAACCAGTAACCAGTGCAGTTTACAAAGCAAAGGTGTTACATGGGCATCCCATAGCATGTCTTTTAATTGTTCATATTGGCGCATTCTAAACCAACCTAACCTTCTGAACTGCCTTCAAGGGCAACTTCATATAGAGTGCACTCAGGTAGTCCAAACATGACATAATCATAGCTTAATACCTATTTAAAAAGTCTTCCAGTTTCAGGAACATGTGCAATTGCTGCACAATATGAATCTGTACCAATTTCTCCCTGGTTAACAGTTGCTGCTGTGATCAGGAGCTACAGGAAGAATTCAAGAAGACCTTCAAATTGCATCTAAGTTTAATCAGGGAAACTCCAGCCTCATTTACCGTGTTTTCCCAAAAATAAAACAGGGTCTTATTTTCTTTTTACCCACAAAATATGGCTTGGGCCTTATTATCAGGGGAGGGTTTATTGTTTTGGGGTTGCCGGGCAGCTGCTCTCTTGCGAGTGGGCTCCCAAAGAGCCGGGCATAGCCTCAGGGGCGAACGGCTGTGTTGCGCTATCGCAGCAGCGCAACACAACAGCCATGAGGCAACCATGCTCACGAGCAGTCGCCCAGCAAACCCACTTTCCAACTGGGCACAGTGCCATTCACTGACCTAGGGGTATCGCCAAGCCGTGTGAGCGCCTGTTCGCTGCCACCCGGCTCCTGCGGTTTGGCACCTTCGAAATGCCAGTGAATGGCGCTCTGCACGGCTGGAGAGGGGGGTTGTGTGAGCGGTTATTCCGCTCTCGCTTAAGCGCCTCCCAATGCCCTGGTCCAGCTCTCCCTGCAGAGCCAGAGCACCTCCGCTGCCATCCCAGCATGGCTTTTTCGGCAGCTTCCAAACTGAGTCTTCTGGCAGTGGCCGCTCTTGGCATAGGCTCTATGGTTGTGAGTTGGCTACCGGCAGAGCATACTCCCAAAGCATACAACCATAGAGCTTATGCCCAGAGCAGCTACTGCTGGAAGACTCAGTTTGGAAGCCACCGAAAAAGCTATGGTGGGATGGCGGCGGCAGTGGAGGTGCTCTGGCTCTGCGGGGAGAGATGGGCCAGGGTGTGAGGCTGGGAGCCGTATGAGCGAGAGCAGAACAGCCGCTTGTGCAACCCCCCTCTCCAGCTGTGCAGAGCGCCATTCACTGACCTAGAGGCATTTTGAAGGCGCCAAGCCACAGGAGCCAGGCAGCAGTGAACAGGCGCTCATGCGGCTTGGCGATACCCCTAGGTCAGTGAATGGCGCTGTGCCCAGGTGGAAAGGGGGTTTGCCGGGTGGCTGTGCACGGCGCTTTGGGAGCCTGCTCGCAAGAGAGCAGCTGCCTGGCAACCCCCCTCTTCAGCTGGGCACAGGGCTGCTCACCAACTTAGTGGTATCTCGAAGGCGCCAAGCAACGCAATTAACTTTGCCTCCCCCCAGGTTCCTGTGGCTTGGCACCTTTGGGATACCGCTAGGTTGGTGAGCAGCGTTCTTCCTGGCCAGAGGTGGGGGGTTGTCCAGGGGCCTTATTTGTGGAGGAGGGCTTATATTTTTGCCCACCAGAAAAATGTGGCATGGCCTTATTATCAGGACATGTCGTATTTTTGGGGAAACATGGTGGAAGTACATATGAAATGTCCCTGGAACCAGACAATCTTTACATAGGTAGCCTCTTGGTTATGCTAGAGCACCAACTCCAGGAACTGGGATCAAATGCTGACAGTATCACTGAGGTACCCATGAAGTTCATGAACTACTGGGCTGCCCAGACTCTACATCAGATGTGGGCAGGATGAAATTTCCATTAAGTCTTTGAGATTTCACTGTTAACTGGCAACACAGTCAAGCAGCTTATGTAGGGATCTCATTAAATATCCTGTTTTCCCCTTATTATCCCCAGATAATAAGCCCAATTAGGCTTTTGAGCGCATGTGCTAAAATAAGCCCTTCCCCAAAAATAAGCCTCATGAAAATATTGCAACACAGCAGCAGCAGCCATGAGGTGACCACGCTCGCCACCTTCTGCACCTCAAAAATAATAAGACCTCCCCAAAAATAAGGCCAAGCTCTTATTTCAGGGGGTCAAATGAAAATAAGACCTTGTCTTATTAATAAGGCCCTGTCTTATTTTCGGGGAAACACCATAGCAGGTAATCTGGTACAGCAGCAACAAATTAACTATTCCCTAGAGCCTAACTTCAGGCACAAGATCTTCCATCTGGTTATCTGTGGTTCAAAACCTTGAAAAGCCATTAGAATTTTGCAGATGAAAACTGCCCCCCTCCCCAGGTCATGCCAAATTAAAAACATAAAAGGCTTATTTCAGACAGAGAGACACTGCCTTCCGGGTCCTTCCAAGTCTTGATTACGTATTGACATAATCAGGTTGGTTGCCTCAGCCATAATACAATTATCAACTTAGCATTTGTTTATAAGAAAAATTAAATATTTGAGAAAATATAAGTTGGGCTTAGGACTTTCAGTTAACTGGTCTCATTTTCCTTTTGCTTCCTCCAAATTACTTAGTGCTACAATTGGAATTGTCTCTATCTATGGATCTATCTATCTCTATCTATTGAATTGTCTCTATCTCTCTATCCCTAGAAGGTCCTGATACTCCTGAGTTCTCATTTGAATGGACAGTTGTGTTTGGATGAATAAACAATTTGTTGCACTTGCTGGAAAAACCTCCCCTTGACACAAGTTTTATGGCAAGGTGCAGAATCTATTTTTAAATTATTGAAACAGGTCAATGACACTAGAAAGCAAATTCAAAAATAAAGGGAACAAAATGCACTAACAAATTTCAAAATTCTATTCAGGAAGGATTTTTATCCAGAAATTCTCCAGTATCATCATCTGAAAGACTAGCATTCAGTAAATTACATTGAAGTTTTGAGTATCAGTATGAAATGAGTAAAACAAATGAAACATTCTTTGGTCAGATTTGATGCTAAAGGAACCAAAACATGAACATCTGGATTGTTTAACCTTATCTCCTGGCAGAAGGAATGAAGTGGGAGAGATTTAGTGTTATGACTAAACCTATGACTGTATACAAATGAAACCATCTTCACTATGTATGTGAAAAACTACTTCAAAGCCTTTATCTTTATCTGTCATGCCAAAATAGTGTTCACAAACTTGGTATAAATGCATTTTATATTCTCCACTGTGGTGGAACTACTGTTGAGTCTTACCTAGAGGATTCGCACCAATAAATACATTTTCAAAATTCATCTTCGGCATGTAAGACAAGGACTGTATGTAATTTCTTGCCTGGAGGAAAATAAAACATGTTATTAAACTACCAGTATGCTTCTTAATCACTGCATTTTCTATGTAGATCTGTTTTTTTAACTTTGATTTCATCTGTTTTTAGTTTTTTAATTACTATCCACCTCTATCTTCTCATTTATATATTCAACATGACAGTGATGCTATAAATAAAGGCTAGATTTGGAGTCTTATGCACTGCATAAGCAATACCTGTGATATGCTAGAGGATAGCAATGGCACCTGAATGATCTTAAATGGTTGGAACATTGATTCATTGCAAATATTAAGCAGAGTAACATCTGTATGGGACAAGTCTACCAATTAAATGAGAGGTGTACAATTGTACTAAGAAGAATAGACAAAAATGTGTGACTTTCATCAATTTAGATTTGCTTCTTGTTATGACTTCACTGAACTACAGTAAAGTAGTAAACTACAGCCTACATGTAAAGCTTCTTGTTAAGACAGTTTGAAAACCTCAGTTGGTATAAAATGCAGCTTTTGAAAGTTCTTGGGAAATACATATTCACAGCACCTTTCTCTAATATTTTACTGTTTGTATAGATTTGTTATTGGTTTTCTAGTACTAAAACTTTAGTGAAGTGAGACAAGATTTCACCTGAAGCACTTAGTTGTACTAATATAAGCTTCCTCAAAACAGCCTTAATGATCCTCACGCTAGTGGATATCAAAAATATCTTTCCCATTATCTAGACTGAATTGCTTCTTTTAAAAATATATACAGTTCCTTATGTATTATCCTTTAAATACATTGTAAAGATAATTTTGTTTTAATTGTACCTACTACTGGAACATGAAATGCTGGAATTACATGGAGAGAAGTGGAGGAACCAGATCCTCAGGTCAGTAAGTACTTTTAGATTAGGAGTAGATTGTTATAAATGGCTTTACGATTGTTTAAATTTGGGTGCCCTTGGAAAGTTAAAAAATATTAAAGTGAATAAAATAATTAAATGTTTTAAATTGCAGACCAATGTGCACATCCTCCTAAGATCTCACCTCATGGCTGGGCATCCTGTTAATGAGATATGCAGGGGGTGTCCCCGTCAGACGCATGATTTGCTGAAGCTGGTTAATATCTTAAAATGCCTTGTCAAGGGCTTTGTTACTATTTCAACAGTGTCAATGCTCAAATTAGCTTTCACTCTTTTGCTACAAAATAGAATGCCTTGAGGGTACAGCATCTAAGAATCTTTCCTATAGATACAAACTTTCAAAGCAAACATGCAATATTAGAAAGCACAAAAATACTACTTTGTCAGTGAATAAAAGAAAACTGATTTAGTATCAACTAAAGCCAAGTATGCACAAGTGACTAGCAAAAAAAAAAAAAGCACACGTTAGTCTATTTAATTCCATATATGACATTTCATTCTAAATCACAACTTGCCTGTATAGGGAAGGAAGAAAGAGATTTTAACCAATTCATGACACTGTAAATACCAAACTAAACTAAGGGATACCAGATTTTTCAACTTCAGAAGGGTACTACAATCTATAGTCCTTTTGAAAATGTAGTATTACTTTCTCTAAGAAAATACACTATTATCATATTTTTGTGTAAAGAACATTATTTTAGACAGCCAATAAACATTTTGCCTTTAGGCAGAAGCTCAATTCCTTAACTTTTATGGCAGATGCATATCTTTATCTGCAAGGAGAAGTCAGATTAATTACTCACTCATTGCTGAATTTTTGTTATCAAACTAAAAGTCACATGGGAAAAGATGGGCAACTTGTTTTCTCCCAGATAAGACAGGTATAAACAAGAGGCTGTATATGATGAGATTAATCAGAAAAGGAATTGAAGCACACATTGGAAAGTGTAGGGACTCTTATATTCTCCTTCTTTGGACAACTAGTACAACGGAACAATTCTGGGGGGAAATTCAACCAACGAATAAGACCTTGGTATTGCCAATTTCCATACTAACAAATAATGCAAGTTAAGGCAACTGGTAATTAACAATCAAGAGCTCATATTTTAGCCATATAAAAAGTGAGCATGAAAAGAGGAATTTATCCTTTGTCTAATCAGACTTAGGAAAATGCCATGATATTATTTTAAGATATTACTAATACTGACAAGAACAGCAAGACTTATCTGTTCTCAAGAATTAGCTACAGGATTCCCTATATCTGAAATATAGATTCCAAGTTAGAGGGCCAGAATTTTTAATTTTTCTGCAAAAACATTGGTCTTCAATACTGTCTTTTGTTTATTCTCAGAAAAATCAATCCCTAATAAGTCTTATACTTTGTGTAGGTGAATGTTACATTTATCAGATCTGTATGTCACATTGCTTATTCAAACCAACGAGCTAACCAAAATCTTTATCTCAATTATTTGTTTGAAAGCTTTTTCAGATAACAAGATGCTGTTTATCGGCATGCTATATACACTTTATCAACTTTTTGCACTATCCAACATGCTCTTTCCTGAGATCTTGAATTGGCAACTAGCAGAGCAAAACCCAGCATGCATAAAAGAGTTGATGTGACAGTTGCAATCAATGAAGCTGTAAGGGGGAAAAAACCCTGTTACCTGAAAAGTAGACCCTGATTTCCAAGCTGTCAAGCACAAAGACAAGTATTTTTTTATTACACAACATACAGGAAAAATTAGTTTTCATGCTTTTACCAAACTAAAGCACATGCTTTTCAGAGGACAATTATTTTCCCTTTTCTCAATAAGCCGGTTCTTCTAAATCTCTCCAGAATTAGAATTTTGACTACATAGTTTTCTTCAAACTGTCATGTTTTCACCTGTTTAAATAGTAACTTTATTTACTTACTTATATTTCATATTTCTTAACCGCTCATTTCCCTTGAAGTTCTTGAGCATTATTCTTTTTACAATCTACAGTATTTCCTTTTTGTTCATTTGGATATTTTTTTTAAAAAGAGTTGTTTTATACATCCACATTATATATATATATATATATTCCTCTTTTATCAAATCTTCCTGGACCGTATGAATTAAGGGTTTTTCAACCATTCCTATCATAGTTTTTCCATTTATGATTTCATTGATGATGTTATATTAAAAATTATACTGAAATTATATTAAAAATCTACTCATATAGAAAGGCAAAATGTGTTCGCTACTATGCTCAAATGTAGTTTAACTCTGATAACAAAAAAATTGGACAGCAATTTTATGACGCCATGCTTTGAACTCTAAATGAATTATGCAATCTGAAGCATCATTACATGAGATAACTTTCAGATTTATCAGCAAAAGATCATGCCGGCAAGGAATTCTTGCATATATGAAGAACACTCAAGTTTGGTGTGTGAAGGTCTGAAGCAAGTAATAACTGCAATTCAAATACTTCATTTCATGGATTGTTAAGTCTGTGATATTACAAATTCAAGTTGCAAAGACTAACCTCTAAGAAATGCACAATCCATTTAATAGAGAGGGCACACTGTGTTATCTATTCCAATGGCTTATTGGTACAAATTTTGATTGATAGAACAAAAAATAGATTCTTCCTAGCTAGAGAGCTAGATTTTCCTGAACAAATGTAGGGCATACGTGGAAAAAGGAGAAGTAAAGGAAAATGACACCCATTTCAGAGTTTGAACCTGCAGTATTTCATATGGTTTGTCAATAGCATGTGTGAAAATTTCTTTACTAATAGCATTTAATAAAATATATTTAATGTTTAGCTAAGCCTAAAATAGCCAACAGAGAAACAAAAAAATGAATAATATGAGGAACTAGTTAACTGAAAAACAATATAGAGGAAGCACAGTGAAACATCAAGAGGCCTATAGAAATAAAGAAAAAGTCAAACATAAAAAAAATATAGAGACAATCTTCATGACAGCAGAGCAAATAAAATAAAATAAATCCACATAAGGGAGTCATTACAATTAAATTTTAAACTCACAGACTCTGAAGAGATTTTCTTCAAAAGCTCAGGGCCTGGGGTTCCAACGAGTCTCAAAATGAGCTTCAACTGATCAATATCTAACAATGGACCATAAAGGAAAATTCTGGGACAAATAAAATGAAAAAGCAGCAGCCCAATAAAATAAAGGGGGAAAAGTTCAACCAAATAATTATAAGCAAAATTAGCATATCTCTTATGTATAAATACATATCCCAAATACCCCCTGGAAATTCTATAGTCAAACATATCTAAGTAATATGGAACACTGGCAGTAATTAACATCTGGAAGTGGTCACTCATCAGAGCAAAATAATTTCATGAAATTATTCTCAACATTGTGACTTTTTATCCATAAGCTGTTATTTTCCTGTTCATGAAAGTAACACATAGTTCTGAATGTAATAGCAATAATGTAGAATACAGGCCTTCTTCAGAATTTTGAGAATCACGTCTTATAGACAGTGTAAAATTGTACAGCTGACATAATTAGGTTTTTGTCTAAAGGATTAAAAATATGATGAGTATAGTTGAAGTTCTAAGATAAACCTATCACTAACCGAGGTCTATAAAGCATTTTTATTAGCTATTAAGTATTTCCAAGTTAATTTAGGCTTCCTCCACCTCATTCAAACCATTTCCTAATACAATGCACTTTTGCAATATCTAATTTATATACTGAAGACTGAAATGGTTTTAAGTTAGATGTATTTAACTCAAAGTCATTAGCAAGATGAACGTTCAGTGTCAAATACAAAAACGGGCATGCACAGGTGCTACTCATTGTAATAATTACTATTTACTTCTAAAGCCTACGTTAAGTAGCATTTTTGAGACTAGTTTTAATATAGAACAAAAAAATTGCTTATAGTCCACTAATTCAATTATCTCCTTCAGTTTATCCCAAATTAGTGAATTATTTGTATTACAAATTTATTATCCAAAACCAATAAGAAAAATGTCAAGATAATAATAATAATTTGAAACAGGAAGAATTTCGGCTTCTTAAATTTGAAGTTAACCTATCTTATAAAAGTTGTGATGTACATTGCTAAATAAAATTCTTATTAAATCCATATACATTTTATAAATAAATACAATTATTCTGATCATAGAGATACAAAGCTTTAATTCTTATCAGTAAAATGCTGTATTTGTAATACCAAACAAACAAAACCAATTGTTCTAAATATCTTGCTTCCTCTAGGACAGTGGTTCTCAACCTTTCTAATGCCACGACCCTTTAATACAGTTCCTCATGTAGTGGTGACCACCAACCATAAAATTATTTTTGTTGCTACTCTATAACTGAATCGTAATGTAAATATCTGATATGCAGGATGTATTTTTATTGTTATAAATTGGACATAATTAAAGTATAGTGTTTAATCACAAAAACAATATGTAATTATATAGTGAAATATTTATTTCTAATTACAAATAAATGAAATTTTGTCTTGAAGCATGGTGTAGCTTTGGTTTTTCTTGCCTAAGTGTTAAAAGTTTACTTTACTTCTACTTCCCTCTTCTTTGGGGCAGCCCCTTAGCTATTGGAAGACTGCTATCATATCACCCTTAAGCCCTTCTTTTCATTCAACCAGACATACCCAGTTCCTGCAACTGTTCTTCATATGTTTGAGCTTCCAGTCCCCTAATCCTTTAG